GTTGGTGGAGACATTGCTGTTATCTTGTTGATCACATCTGTGGGGATCTGTCTACGTCCATCTTGCCATTTTATTCCCAAAAATTGAATCTCCTGTGCAGGTCCCTTGACCTTACTCCGTTTTATGGCAAAACCAGCTTTCAGCAGGATTTGGATTATTTTCCTCCCTTTCTCAAAGACTTCTTCCGCTGTATCGCCTCACGTGGGGCGCCAAAAAGAACTGTCGTGGTTTAAACCCAGTCAGGTAACTTGTTCACTCACTCCCAGTGAGTGGTGCCGAGCTGACAACAATCGAGGTCCGTTCCCCACCCCCCCCGTGGCTCTCCCCTTCCCCGCTCCCGGAGGAACGGGGAGGAGAATCGAAAGAGTGCAACTCCTACGGGTTGAGACAAGAACAGTCCAGCAACCAATGTACAACACAAATCACCACCGCTACTATCAACTACAACAATGATAAGGGAAAATAACAAGGGAAGAGAATACGATACCACCGGCCAAGAAAACGAGTCCCACCTGGAAGCCCGTGTCCTTCCGGGTAACTCCCAGTCACCCCCCACCCCGGGCATGACGTGCTGTGGTATGGAATACCTCCTTGGCTAGCCCGGGTCAGGCGCCCCATCTCTGCTTCCTCACAGCTTCCCCTCCTCCCTGGCAGAGCATGAGCCTCACAAAGTCCTTGGTCAGGGTAAACATCACTTAGCAATAACCGAAAACATCGGCTTCACCAACACTGTTCCCAGGCTGGAAGTCAAAACACAGCACTGCACCAGCTACCACAAAGGAAAAACATGACTGCTACTGCTGAACCCAGGACATAGTCCCAAAAATTGAATCTCCTGTGCAGGTCCCTTGACCTTACTCTGTTTTATGGCAAAACCGGCTTTCAGCAGGATTTGGATTATTTTCCTCCCTTTCTCAAAGACTTCTTCTGCTTTATCACCTGACATGATAATGTCATCAATGTATTGCAGGTGTTCTGGAGCTTGCCCCTGTTCCAGTGCAGTCTGGATCGGTCCGTGGCAGGTCGTAGGGCTGTGTTTCCACCCCTGGGGCAGTCGGTTCCAAGTGAACTGGACACCACTCCAAAAGCAAACTGTGGCTTGCACTCTGCTGCCAAAGGAATTGAGAAAAATGCATTGGCAATATCAATCGTGGCATACCACTTGGCTGCCTTTGACTCTAGTTCATACTGAAGTTCTAGCATGTCCGGTACGCCAGCACTCAGTGGTGGTGTGACTTCATTCAGGCCACGATAGTCTATTAGTCTCCACTGTCCATTAGGCTTTTGCACTGGCCATATGGGGCTATTAAAGGGTAAGCAGGTCCTACTGATCACTCCTTGCCTCTCCAGTCTGCGGATCAGCTTATGGATGAGAATCAGGGAGTCTTGGTTGGTGCACTCTTGCTGCCGTTGCACTGTTGTGGTCATGATTGGCACTTGTTGTTCTTTGACCGTCAGCAACCCCACAACAGAAGGATCCTCTGAGAGACCAGGCAAGGTGGGCAGCTGCTTAATTTCCTCTGTCTCCAAAGCAGCAGTGCCACAAGCCCATCAGTACCCTTTTGGGTCTTTGAAGTACCCTCTTCTGAGGTAGTCTGTGCCAAAGATGCATGGAGCCTCTGGACCAGTCACAGTGGGGTGCTTTTCTCATTTCCTCCCAGCCAGGCTGATTTCAGCCTCCAGTACAGTCAACTTTTGGGATCCTCCTGTCACTCCAGAAATACAGACGGGTTCCACCCCTTGACAGCTTGATGGCATCAGGGTACACTGTGCATCGGTATCTACTAGAGCCTTATGCTTCTGTGGGACTGATGTGCCAGGCCATCTGATCCACACAGTCCAGTAAATCTGATTGTCCCCTACCTTCATCTGGCTAGAGGCAGGGCCCTTCTGATAGTGATCACAATATTGGCCACTTACGTCTTGTAGAAAAGGATATGTCTTCTTTATCACAGGAGCTGGAATAAAATCAGCTCTTCCACTCTGTCTGAAGCCTGCTCACCAGACACTGAAGCTGCAGCTTTCATGGGATGATCATCCTTGACTTTTGTTCTCCTCTTCAATTCATGCACCCGTTCCTCCAGAGCTGAGGTAGGTTTTCCATCCCACTTTCTCAGCTCTTGTCTGTGATCACACAGGTAAAACCATAGGCCTGTGGCGTGTACTTCTTGTATCTTCTCTCTCAAGCAGTAGGGCGCCTTTTGTTAATAGCTGAGATGTGTGTTGATACACGCGGGGAACTGGATAGATTGGATAGATCGTCTCTCAGTTGTTTGAACTCCTGGGACAGTTTTTCCACAGCTGAAATGATGGAAGGGGTGAGATTGTTGTCGCACTCTCGGAGTTGACAAATCATTTCATCCACTGTTGGTGGTACTATGTCATTCCAGATTATTGCTGCCAGTGAGTCAGCGTATGATGATGGTGCATTCCATATAAGTTTCTGCCGCATGGGTTGTGTACATTTGGCTTCATCTACGGATCTACAGGTGCATTCCAGCATCCGGCCTGTGATAGGTCATCTCTACAATGGCTGATTCTGTCAGAGACTGGATGCCTTTCTCTGTTGTGGTCCAGTTGGCTGAACAACTTATAACATCATCCTTGTACGGAAACCTTTCTTTTACATCTGCCAAGAGCCACCTCCAAGGGCTGAGGAACTTTTTCTCTTTTGCAGTTGCTTTGTCAATTCCCCCTTCCCTAGCAAGTGATCCCAGCTGCTTGGCTTCCCTACCTTCTAGTTTGTGACCATTGGCCCCATTGGCCCAGCATTGGAGCAAACAGGTGATGACGTGCTCCCCTGGTTGACAGGTGAAATCTTTTTGCATATTCCATAGCTCGTTTGAGGTCCAGGGTTGAGAAGTCACCTCTTCTTCCCCTTTCTCTGATCTACTTAATAATAGCTCTTGTTCAGGTGCTGTCCCGTGTGGTAAGTGCATTGGTTCTTCATCTTTCTTCACTGTACGGGTTGCTTTTTGTGCCTCTTGTTTGCTTTTCCCCTTATGTACAGGGGCAACTGATATTGGCACAAATTGCTCCTCTGGTTTAGCTGCAGTGATTATCACTGTAGTTGAAGTGGATGCAGTATGTGTTGTCGGGGTTGATGCAGCTGCTGTGCTTGGGGGTTGAGTAGCACCAGCAGCTGCACTGTCTGTTGTTGTCAGGGTTTGAGTAGCTGCTGTACTTGTCACTGGGGTTGGTGTAATTTCTGTGCTTGGAGTTGGAGTAGCTGCGTTGTCTGTTGTAGTCAGTGTGAGTAGCTGCTGTAATTGTCACTGGGGTTGGTGTAGCTGCTGTACTTGGAGTAGCTTCATTGTCTGTTGTAGACAAGAGTGTGAGTAGCTGCTATACTTGTCACTGGGGTTGGTGTAGCTGCTGTACTTGGAGTAGCTTCATTGTCTGTTGTAGACAAGAGTGTGAGTAGCTGCTGTACTTGTCACTGGGGCTGGTGTAGCTGCTGTACTTGGAGTAGCTTCATTGTCTGTTGTAGACAAGAGTGTGAGTAGCTGCTGTACTTGTCACTGGGGTTGGTGTAGCTGCTGCATTTGGAGTTGGAGTAGCTGCGTTGTCTGTTGTTTTGCCATCAGATCCAGTGACATCTTTTTCCCTTTGAAGGTGCTGGATAGTGTTGAACAGGTTTCTGTAAGCATAGGCCAAGTCCCAGCATGTTGCCATGATTTCTCCTTCTCTGGTATGACCAGGTTGACAACACAACTCATATAAGACTTTTACTAGTTTTTCCAGATATTGCACTTGTTCAGCAGTAAAGTTCCAAAGCTCTTGAGGGGACCACTGGCCTAGATAATTGCCCATACTATCCCACACACCCTGCCACTCATGACTGTCCAGCCTCGGGGAAAATCTCTTGGTCCTCCTATGTCGTCATCTAACCCTAAACCAGACCCAAACCTGACTCTGCTTAACTTTTGAGATCAGATGAAATGGTCAGGAGTAAAACACACTCCGTATGTGTGCCAACATGCTGATCCCCATCACAATCAGCAGGCAGGTCTCAAGGGTACCCAAAGGCCAGACAAAACCTTCAGAACTCTCAAATGATGCTGTAAATGGTCTGGTGGGGGAGCTGGGAGCATAATGGAATGTCTCCTTCATAGGGTGACCACCTGAGAAGGGAAAAAAGATGTGTAATTGCTAAACACTTCCATTATATACCTCCCAAAGTGTAGAGATGGTGACCACACTGGGAGCACAAGCCAGATCAGTTTCATGATCAGTGAGTCTATTGTATTACAAGTAATTACCATAAAGTACAATGAAACAAAAAACCTTAGCCCAAGGTCCCCAGCTGATAAATACTAACACAGCAAATACCAGCTGAAAGTAAGGTATGCTGAAACTCTGAGATGAAGAGCAACAACTTTGAGAGCCAATAAATCAGCATTGTAACAAGTGACTATTAATCCAAAACAATGAATGCTTATCACAAATACGATTAGACACACTCTGGTCAGATCTGTTGTTATCTCAACCCTTTGTGCCCCACATTGGACGCCACAAAGAACTGTGGTGGTTTAAGCCCAGCCATTAACTCAGAACCATGCAGCCGCCTGCTCGCTCCTCCCTCCACCTTTCTTCTTCCCTCCTGCTCCGGGAGGGATGAGGAGGAGAACCAAAAGAATGTAACTCCCATGGGCTGAGATAAGAACAGTCCAGTAACTAAGGTATAACACAAATCACTACTGCTACCACCAATAATAATAATGATAAGGGAAATAACAAGGGAAGAGAATACCACCACTCACCACCTGCTGATCAATACCCAGCCTGACCCGAGAAGTGGTCTAGCCCTTCTGGGTAACTGCCCCCCGTTTACATACTGGGCATGACGTGCTGTGGTATGGAATACCTCTTTGGCTAGTTTGGGTCAGGTGTCCTGTCTCTGCTTCCTCCCAGCTTCCCCTCCTCCCTGGCAGAGCATGAGACTCACAAAGTCCTTGGTCAGAGTAAACATTACGTTGGAACAACTAAAAACGTCGGTGTTATCAGCGTTGTTCCCAGGCTGAAAGTCAAAACCACAGCACTGCACCAGCTACTAAGAAGGAGAAAAATGCCTGGTACTGCTCAACCCAGGACATGTTTGGAAGCAAAACTCGGATTCATCCATGTAGTTTTGGCGCAAAAAAGGCAAAGCTTGCCCTGAGTTTGCAGGATGAAGGCAGCAATGTACTTTTGGGAGAAAAAGAGATATCTGTTTGAGAAAGTAGCTGAAGAAAGGAAAGAGGGGGAAAAGGACAAATGTTCCAGCAAGCTATGGTTCATCCCTGAGCCCTTACACCACACCAGTACCCCTCAGCTGATGGTGAGAACCTGTCAAATCGTAGCCCAGCAACAGCTGGATTGCCCTGTACCACGCATCTTGGAAAGGGTGCAGTGCTCCTTACATCCTGTGGATTTAAAGAATTGCAGTGACAGGTAGATTGACCAGAGATAGTGCATTGGACTTTCTGGTAGTTTGCCTTTCCATGCAAAACACATGTACAGGAGAAAACCCTGCCAATATCCAATCTGTTTTCTGTTCTGTAGTGTCTGAGGTGTGCACAAATGAGGAGCTGGTGCTTCTGCCTTGCCTCTTTTGTACTTTAAAATGGTATTTTATTTTCTCCCAAATTCCATCCAGAGCTGTCTTTCCCTTTCAAGCTGTTTCTTCAACTACTGACATCCAGTGGAAGAAATGTGACCGGCTTCACTTACTGGAGCGTGTACAGTGGGGGGTGCTGCACATACAGAGCAAGTAATTAGTGCAAGATGCACATTGCTAACGTGTTGGTTTTTTCTTGTAGTTTGCTACCAAAGGCATCCAGGTGGTGGCTGGTCTAATGGGGGGAACTGTCTGCTTTCTTTGTGTCTGATGTCACTGTGCAAGAACCAAAAACAAAGGGAGAAAAAGGTCAGGATAAACAAGTTTCTTGAAGACAGCCACTGTGTTTTGGAGCCAGCTATGCAGGGGGATGAGTAGCCTTCTAACTGTACTGAGCTGATCAGCAGTGGTACAGAAGCTTGCAAAACGCTAGGAGATAGAGGTATGTCTGGATGAATAACTGAGGTTCCATACAGGGTAACAGAGAGCAAAACTTTATCCCTGAATCCCCCTGTACTGTGGCAGCTGTGTGTGAGTCGGTGAGCTGTCCACTGAAAGGCGAAGCAGAAAGAGTCTCCCTTGAGGGTAGCTGTGTTTAGCCTCTCTTCAATAGTAACAAGTCATTGTGAGGTTCGACTTCTGTGTTAGTAACTTCTGAAAATTAAGACAGTGACTCACAATAGATTGATGGCGTTGTTCAACTGTGACCCCCAAAAGCCAGATGCTCACAGGACAGTTGGGAGATTTTGGCTCGACTCTAACATGCAACTTAAGTCTAAATTTTATTACTTCTAAGATGGTTCAGGTCTGACTCTGACTCAAACCCTCTTGAAGTTTCAGGAAGGACTCTTCAGCAGACCAGAATGTAGCATCTGGGTCTTTAAGCTGTAGATTAAAACCTTGCTAATCCACATTTCAAAGTGTCTGGCCGAGGTCAGAGATGAAGTGCTCATTCAATATTCCTCTCACTCAATATTTCTGTAAGCACACAACTGAAACACTATCTGAAATGTTTTTGGTTTGTTTTTTTTTGTTGTTTTGATGTTTTTCTTTCTTTAGTCATTGGTTTGTTCTGATGGGACTCAATCCTCATATGTTATACCTAAATTTAACTCGATTTAGTTAAAAAGCAAACCAAAGTGCTCGGCAGGATTAAATCAGTAGGAGAATATCTTTTCAGAGGTTTTGTACAAATTGATCAGCCTAATTTCCTAAAACACATGTGGGTTAGATGGATATGATTTTGTGTTCAGGTCTTACACAGTTTCAGGAAGAAGGCCATCCAGTACTTTGTAACTCAAATTAAAAGAGCAGTTACAAGAAGACTGGCTTTCCCTGCCCCTTGCCCCCCCCCCCCCCCCCCCAAATGAGTGATGTGTCCTGATGCAGTCTAAACTTACTCAAGAACACAAACAAGTGCCCCCATATGAGCAAAAAGGATTTACCCAGTGCACAGTTATTTACAAAAAAAAAGCTGTTGTTTGTGTTTCAATCATCCGAAAACAGTAACTCTTTTCTTTTTTTTCTCTGTTGTTACCAAAGTAAGTACTTTACAGTTCAGTATGTTGCATGAAGTTGTGCATGTCATACGTATTTCTTGCCAGATTTCCATTTGAAGAGGGAATTGCCAGTGGTTTTATTCCTCAACTTTTGTCCCCTAGTGGTATGTAAATGAAAGTTTTAAAAAGTTGTGGGATAGTTGTAAGAGTGTAAAAGAATGCTTGTAGTCTCTCTACATCATCTTTTTTACTAAAGAAGTCTTTTCACTTATGGAAGTGGCATGCTCGTGGATCAGAATATAAAAGAAACAAACTTGGTGAACTCACCAAGAGCTACTTAGTCTATTTTTACTTTTTCCTCACAAAGAGTTAGTGCAATAAGTGTTGCTGTGGTGGTTGAATGCTACAGCTGCTGTCTGGGAGGCGTACCGGATAGTGAAGAATACTTGAGCTTTGGCAGGACTGCAGGAAACATCCTCTGTCAGGACTGTGGCCAAATATGGGTGAAGTTTTGTGGTCATGATCTGAGGAAGCCTCTGGTATTCCCTCTGTGGCTCATGTCCTATATCCCTTTCATACAATTAAGTAGTTGGAAATTGAAACTAAAGGTCCAGAAATGCATGAAGATGGAGGATGGACTGTTAATGATGAGCCACTTACCTTTTTCGAGGGCAGTAACTTTAATCCCTGTCTTTTGCAGATCCCAAAGAAAATACTCCTGTTACTGTTGCACTAATCTTAACTGTATCATCATTTTAATTATACATTATGAAGCCATGCAGTGTAATTGTATATTATGTAAAAAAAATTGCACATGCAGCATGAAACCAGAGCCAAACGGATAGGTGCCTCACTTGCTTGGAAAGGGTGGTGTTAGTTGTGGAATATTTAAGGGCGTGTGTCCTCATAGGGAGCCAGGCTGATACCAGTGAGGGAAAAGCAGCAGGTCAGTTGTATTGACACTGAACTTGGAACTAAGAGAACTTCAGCGAAGTGTTTCAGAACATGTTCCAGAGTCTTGATTTGAATATAGTTTGTGAAAAATACAGTTTGTGGAACTACGTATTGCATGGAAGAGATACCATATTAGCACATTTTTTTAAAACTTCATAGAAAAGGATTTCAGTACTAAAGTTATTTCAATGTGTACAATATTAGAAAATCTTCCTGGTGGCTTTCTTGAAGGGTACAAGTCATGGTCAAATCCAGGTTGCAAGGGTATTCTTGCATTTGCAGGCAGGACCTTAGCATGAACAGGAGTTCAGTGCCAGAAGCGCACTAACTTGGGACAGAATTGCTAATTGTCTAATTGCTAGTATAAACCTTCATTGCTGCAGGTATGGTAAGTAGGTGTGTTTCCTTCATCATGTTCTTCCTAGGCAGAAAAAGGACTTTCTAGCCATATCTGTATAGACTGCACTTACCTGGTCTGATTTCTTTGTTTGTTAGTCCTAGCTGTGGAGATGGAAAGGGTTTTTTGACACCACTTTGTTTATAACCATCTATTTTTTCCCCCTTAACACCACCCTTTGGCCTAACAGTGGCTTAAAGCCTAAAATGTGTAGAGCACTCCCAGGTTCCCAGAGGTCTTGTTCATATTCCATCATCCCTGCTGTCAGTCACTGTGTATGCATTCTACCTGTTTGGGGCTGAGGGGAGCCCTCCCATTCTGTGCTTAGGTCAGCACATTGCACTCTGGGATCCTGTCCTATGGCTTTATTCTCAGTGTTGCTAACATTCTCTTCTGTGTGGAGTTGGTGAGTTTTTTGTGAATGGAAGATGCTCAAGTGAGCCTGTTTGCTTGAATGTGTAGGTTGGTTTACATGAATTAAGGAAATGGATCTGCCTCTTAAAATATATTGAATACGATATTACTTTATAAATAATGCTTTGGTCTCACATGAATTAAGGAAATGGATCTGCCTCTTAAAATATGCTAAAATAGGATATTACTTTATAAATAATACTTTGTTCTTTACCTTGCCTCCCCAGGATTGTGCAGTATCCTGCAATCTGACATTGCCACATGCCCATATTGTCAACCTTCCACCCATCTTAATTTGTGAACAACAAACGCAGAATTTGCTGCCTTGGTGGGGTGAAGGATTTCTGTACTATGAGTCCTTTTATTCCTACCTGAAGAAGTGCTTGGTCTATGGCACTTGCTGCCCCTCAGGTTTGTACTTCTGCTTTATGAAGATGGATTCCTGCATGACAAGCATGCTGCAGGAGATGGTAACTGGCAGAAGGATTCAACCCTTGCATTGATTCAGACAGGGCAGTCCAGTGGGAGGTGGCTCTCTGGCCTGACTGCAAGGAGCCCTCTGCATTAGCAAGTCTTTGGCTGGTCTGTGTGCTATTACCAGGGTGCTGCTGGTAGAGATTTGCATAGTATTTGCAGCTATGAACTGTGTGGGTGATTGCTCTTTCTAAGTATTTGAATGAAATCTTAAAGCCAAGACTTTGGAATGAAACACAGCTTGCCTGTTGAGGATGTACCTTTAGTGTGAGGGAAGGTGTCTGATGTGAAGTAGATGGTGCTGAGAAATTGCTTCTGTAGTCACTGTCATTTTGGATGGCAGCTTAGGAATATGCTTTGATAGGCCTTGCAAATGTTAAATAGACGTGTCCATTTTAATCATCATAAGCTCTGTCCTCAGACCATGTAGAGTTTTGGAGCACAGGGTGTAAATGAACAAATGCCTTTTTTGTGTGTTGTTCTTGAATCCTTTCTCCACCAGATTTTCATTAATGTCAGGAAAAGTTTACAGGTCTCCGCAAAGAGGGGACCTGTCCCAAAGGAATGCTCTTTCCCAGTTGTTTTCTACATCTGCTTTAGGGAATGTCGCTGGGAATTACTTTCTCTTGTGCTTGGGATATGTGGGGGAAGGTGAGGAAACTGGGGCTGGTGAATTCATCCTGTCCCATTGTGAATCAGCAGTAGGGCCTTCCTGTAACTGCCTAGTGCCACAGCTGGCCCTCAGCAGTGGCAGCTCCTTCTGGGGAGAACCAAGTGATGACTGCAGTGAGAGCTCCTGATAATTGCCAGTAAAGTGTTTTCAGCCTTTAACTAGAGAGCCATGTTTTAGATTGTTGGTAAGCAAGAGAAATAAGTTTTTGTTGAACTTTCACATATTAAATTAAAGCCCCTAACAGTAGTTTGAATTCTAAGCCTTTTCACCTTCCTATAACCAGTTTTCAATCATATTGAGTTGTTTTTTGTAATGGAGAATCAAGAGAAAAGATGCAAATTGTAAAAGGATTTGCAGCTTTAGGCTTTCTACACCACACGAAAAGGGTTCTAACTTTTAGCTTGGTTTTGTATTTCAGCTTCCAGACTGTAGTTATTGCTCAGTGAATTGACTGCCACAAAACTTGATTAACCCAGTACTTACACTGCTTTTTACATGCTAGGCTTGACAGACACTTAGAGGAAAGGTCACTTGTCAGGACATCCTGTTCCTCAGCTGTTTGTTCTTGTAAGCTTCCTGAATTGCAACAGTTGAGTATTTGTAGATTTGCAAGAAAATTCCTCTGGGAATAGATTTGAAAGGTAATTTAATGATGTGACTAGCTACTAGTTTTACATTGTTTAAAGTTTTATGCTCTTACTAGGTTTTAATGGTACTAAACAAGTTGATGCTTTGCAAAACCAGCTCATCTTTGGCAGAAACTGAGACCTCTAATTTGTTGATCTGGGACTTCCCTGGATGACACAGTGTTTCTGTAACTGTCTCAGGCAGCCTATGAATATTTAAGGTTTATTTATTTTCTGTCATTGTGAAACTGTTTTATTTTTTTCCCTAGATAAGCAACGTCTTGTTTTTTGTTTTACCACCCATATGTATGTGCTTGTTCCGTCAATATGCAACCTGTTTCAACAGCGGAATATATTTAATATGGACTCTGCTAGTTGTGGTTGGTAAGTTGCTTAGTCTCCATTTCCCTGTTCATGCATGAAATAAGAGAGGAAATCAGTTTTTCCTGCTTGTGCTTGATTGTTTTGTGAAACAAAGCAATCTTGACATCTGTGGAGTAGTTTGGTTATACTTGCTTGGAGCTGAAGCAACCTGGTTTCTGAAAGGAAAATGCTTTTTGCAATTTGAGGTTGATGGATGTAGGCATTAGCTCTGTTCCCTTCCTATCCTTCTTCTGCATAACTTCTTTTGTTTATATCTGTGCTTAATCTTGTCACTGGGCCAGGACACTCTCCAGCAGCGTTGATGCTCTTTCCTCTGTTGCTTAAATGAGAGCTGAAAGCGTTTGTGCTAGTGATACCAGCACGACAGACGAGGGTAACAGGTTTTGCATTAAGTGAGAAGGCCCAAAGGCTTAGCTATTTTGTAGATGCAAGATTCTTTTAATTCCTAGAGGCACTGGCAACTTACAAACTTTTACATCAGAGCCATGTGGGGGGGCAGTGTGATATTTTTCACCTCTAAACCTGTATCATGGAGTAGTCATCAGATGCTACTTTTGATCTTTGTCTTGCCCATTCTCATCCTATTGAGAGAATTCCAAAGCAGCATTTGGCTTTTATTTCTTAATTGGTTTTATATTTAACTTTACCACTGGATGGTTCTTCACATCTAGTTTTTTAGTAGAAGCTGGCATCTTTAGCTGCTGCTTTTGTAAAGGGTCTGCTTCTTTATTAATGAGGTGCTGATGATTTGGATTGCCTTCTTTGGAAAGTTGGCATTTGTGTTTTGGTTGTTTGGATTTGTTCTTTTTTTTTTAAAAATCTTTTCTAGGCCAAATGGTATCCATCATTTGCTATGAAATTCTGAACACGCACAGCATGTTTTGATCTCTATAGTACTGCAACTGTTCATAAGGCCTTTTTTATTGATTCTTCCAGGAATTGGATCTGTTTACTTCCACGCCACCCTCAGTTTCCTGGGCCAGATGCTGGATGAGCTGGCTATTCTCTGGGTCCTGATGTGTGCTTTTGCCATGTGGTTCCCTAGGAGATACCTGCCCAAAGTTTTTCGGAATGACAGGTAATCGTACAATCATACATGTATATTTTCGTGTTTGTTGAAACTTCTTATGCTGATACCTAAATCTGCACATAATGGCACTGAGTTGTTATCCAACCTTAGCGCTGCCGCCACTACTTTTTCTCACTCCATTCTCTTCCTATTGCTTGTAGCCTGGAGAAGAGCAGGCTGTGTGGAGACCTCATAGCAGGCTTCCAGGATGCTGGAGAGGGGCTCTTCATTAGGAACTGTAGCAAGAGGACAAGGGGTAACGGGTTCAGACTTAAACAGGGGAAGTTTAGGAAGAAATTCTTTACTGTAAGAGTGGTGAGACACTGGAATGGGTTGCCCAAGGATGTTGTGAATGCTCCATCCCTGGCTGTGTTCAAGGCCAGGTTGGACGAAGTCTTGGGTAACATGGTCTAGCGTGAGATGTCCCTGTCCATGGTAGGGGGGTTGGAACTAGATGATCTGAAGGGCCTTTCCAACCCTAACCATTCTGTGATTCTATGATCTCAGCCCATTTTTTTTAGAATTCCCAAGTCTGCAGTTGCTGATGGTTTATGCCCTGTAACTTCAGATCTTGGGATGAGGTGAGTTGCCTCTGGAAGTGCTTGTTCTTGTTGATTCTGGGGAGACCTTTACATGAGTAGCTTACATAAGCTGCAGCTACAGTAAGGGAAACCCTCTTACCTTCTTCCTTCTGTATAGCCTAAGTGTGCATGAAGGTGGACCTATGGAAGTCAGCTGTATTTTCGTCGGAATAATTAAGGCAGTGGTTAAGGATGGTGTTTAAGTATTCAAAGTCTAGGTGTTTATTATAAGCCTGTTATGAACATAATTTTAAGAATTGTGGGTTTAGTATTTAGAATTTAGTAATTAGAAATTTTCTCCCCCAAAAAATCCTATTCAGGAGCCGATTTAAAGCTGCTGTAGGTGTCCTGTCTGGAGTTACTACCTGCCTTGCCTTCATTAAGCCTGCCATCAACAACATTTCACTAATGACTCTGGGTGTTCCCTGCACAGCTTTGCTTGTTGCTGAGTTGAAGAGGTGAGTACATTTCTCCTGTATGCAGTGTTGTCTTCTGAGATCCTTAGGCCAATGTGTGACAGTACACTAGATCTGACTTTAGTGCTTCATCTCCTTCTGCAGATCAAAAATTCTTCTACCACAGGTAAGTGCAGATCTGGTATAAACTTGCTCTGCCAGTTCAAGACATTTTTGACAAGGATTTTTCTCTTTTTCCCCTGGGCCAAATAGTAGGTCAGCTATTGGCTGACTTCTTGTGACAAAATGTCTTGCTGCAACCTGATCTAACTCAAATTTGTTTGTTTATTGTGGAATCAGGGCAAGGGTTTCACTCTACTGAGCATTTCTGCTCTATAGTCTATGTAAGGGTGAGGTGATTGCATGATCACAGTCTAGATACTAGAAGGAATGTGGATCAAGGCCCAAGCATGCGTGGAAAATTCTCAGTAGTTCTCAGAATTGTACTGTGACTTTTACACCACTTTGTCTTCTGACATGTATTATATGATGGAGCCAGACCGGCAAAGATAAGGTTAATCACAAGATTGTGGAGGATAACTGTCAATCTTGGTCTTAGAAACTATAAAGCCAGAATGCAAATAGAGAAGAACCTGAGACAGATCTTAGCATTTTAGTGTTACCATGGTAGCAATACCAGCAGCTGTACAGATACTTCTTTTCTTGAATCTTTTCATTGGGTGCACAAATGACCAGACAAGTATGGGCATATGAACTTGTCTTTTCCCCTTCTTCTCCAGTGTCTAAGAAAGATTTTACAACTTATGTTGCCCTTAGATATTGCTTATGTCCATCAAAAGAAACAAACAGGACTAAATATCTGCATTCTGACTGTTCCTATTAGAAATTCTCCTGTTTGCTATCTTACCCTATTGTGCCACTGCTTCTCCATACAGTGGAAGCCTTTGCTAACAGTGTTTTGTAAAGGTGCTTGTGAGTCTTATCTCATTAGACAACCTGCTGAGCAGTATTTATTTCTGTCAAAGAAGCTTGGGAGACAGCACACAAGTTAACTGTAGACAAGTAGTTGAATGTTGGTGGGGACGTCTCATTTTGATGTGAGCACTGAGGAACTACTGACAAAGCAAATGGAGATCTGTATATGGCACTGAATAATATATGTGAACTCTATACATATCAGTTTTCCAGGCATGAGCTCCTGAGAAAACTGGACGGTTAGTGTGGTTCAAAATTAGTATTGCTTCAAATCCAGGAATAGGTATGCCTACAGATTTTGCTTTTTCAAACTCCCTCTGAAAAAAGTTCTTATCTTACCAAAATGTGTTTTCCTGAATTAAAAACACAGATAAACTTTCTTTTGAATTGGTGATTAAAAAGGGACCTAAAGTGACGTATGCCGTCTTGATTGTGTATTGGATGATGTAATACCTTTTTTTTTTTTTTTTTTTACAAATTCCTAAGTATAAAAGGGAAATAAGTAAGAGTTTTATTTTAAGCTATATTGATCCCTAGGAGATTTAAGTAAGATATATTCTTGTAAACCTGGAAGAGAGAAGTTGTGGTGTATCATGACACGGACTCAAGATGATGAGGAGACACAAATCCAACCTTATTACAATCAAGTCCTCTTTATCCCCTTGTTCGGTACTTTCCCAACCTGCACAAGCATGCCATTTTCAGTCTCATTGGCCCCTGTAAAAATCCCCAGGTAAATAGTCCAATCGCAGTGCTGAGGACACACTGTAACAGTTTCACCCCGCCGTCTCAGACCCTCTGGTCTGGCCTCGACTGAGACTCCCTGCTACAACAACATGCTGGCCTAATCCCCCAAGGCTTGCTTGTTTACCTTTGCTGTCTTTCAATATTCCAATTTAACTGCCCCAGGTCTTGTTAAGCGTCAAGCCCTCAGAGCTCATTCCCAGACTGTTTTTCATGCAAATCTTACCACCTTCACTCTTCACAAGAAGTCATCTCATCCATTTTGGTAGTAGGAAAAATAATACAAGCATTATTTAAAATGCCTGCAATTCTTCCCTTCTCTACTAGCACAGTCATTAGGGAGCTACACATCTGAGGCCTGGCAATCTGGAGCAGAAGTTTATCTGTGAAACTGGTATTTGGGGAAGGAAGAGAAAAGCCTCCAGAGAAGTTTCTTCTGTTCTGTGCTGTGTTGTGTTGTGATGTGTTAGACCAAAACTCCCTGTTCTTATTCCCCTGGTGTCAATCTTGTACAGAATTCTGATGAATCAGAACAACTGTGTTTTCAAATGAGAATTCTCTGTACCTCACTTGTCCTTGATGAGGAGATAGTATTGTCACAAAAGAGTGTTATGTTCTTGAATGAAGAGTTGGTAGGGTAGTTTATGCTAGGAAGTATTGTGAGTGGGAGATGATCAAAAGAGAAAAAGGTAGCTAAGTGCATTACTTGTGCTTGAAAGACAAAGAAATGGTAAAACTGTATTCTCGTTTCTGTCCAAACAAATCCCTTAATGTGTTTCATAAGGAGACCCCCACAAAAGCTCTCCTAGGGGATGGTGTCAGGGACGAAGCGGATATGGATCCTTTGGTTTGCTGGTTCAAGCCAAACCACCAGTGAGATTAAAATGTCATCAAATTAGTATGAGAGTTATTCAGTGAGTTACTGTTGACGCGGGAGTCACGGGCAACGCAGAGATGATCAATGTGATCAAGCGATTGCCAAATTTATTACAAAGCCTTAACTCCTTATATACTATTTCTTACATGCACTTACAGTCATTTGGCCTATTATGATTGGATACATGTCTTGAAGACCCTTAGTGACTAACATATAATTGGTTAAACACAGGTGTGAGAACTCGACCTCAAAAGCTTGCCAACAGTCCACAGTTCTCATTAGCTCAGTGAATTCCAGCTTCTTATCTTGCTTGCTTAAGCGTCTTCGGGCCTCTCATGGCCTTGCTGTATCTTTCAGGATTATTCAGAGTTTATGTACTACTTATGCATTCTCCCGTGAGAGCACTGTCTCCACATCTCCCCCTTTTTGTTTTATATATGTTTTGGGTGACCCTACTTGAGCAGGGAATTTGGGCTAGATCGTATCTCCAACATATGCCAACTACAGGCTGCTGGGCCTGCACCTTTTTTCTGCTGTATGGCTCTCTGATAACAGGGGAGGCCATCCTTCACATCAAGGTCTGGCATGGCATGTGTCCCCACCGCTTCACGCCTGCTGGGTTGCAGCCAACAGCGGAGCTAAAGGTTCTTCTTGGTGGCAAGCACAGAGGCCAACCCAGTCTTGCCCTTGACTGTGGTAGCAGGCATTTGGTCAGCCTCAGTCCTTGCACCTTGTTGTCAATGCACAGTTTCACCTGCTTCATCCAGTAACAAGTCGCTACTACAGCAAGGCACACACAAATTTACATTAGCCGAGTGACTATTACAGGGTGCAGCAGCATGTTGAAGATGCTGATGGCAGCGAGGGACTAGCCAAAGAAATTTCTTACCAGTGGAATTCTCCCACCCTCTTAATTTGTTCCATCACCTGCTTTATAACACTACCATTGTGTTAGAATCTTTCCAGCTTTTGCCTTAGCATTTTCTAGCAGCTACTGCAAATTTCCGCACTCTTAACATTTCTTTTACAAGTGACAAATCTATACAATGCAAGGTGTAGTTCTTCATTAGCAACTGGCTAGTAAATACAGGTGGTTTTATACACAAAATCACAGCCTCTAATAATAGCTACTTTGCAAGCACACATATTCAGGATGTTACTTTTCAGTTGTCCCCAAGTGATGTTTTGCAATCGTTAGTTTTTCTCTTCCTCTGTCTCATGCTGCTTGGGGTACTCACGGTC